TATATATATATATATATATTTACCATAGTTATGTTTTTTTAGTGATTTTTTTAGATTGCTCCCGAGGGGGCTAGTTTATTGGGCACCCAGTTACATCCTGTGCAAGGTGAAGCGCAGAAGCGTTTACAGCGCCCATCTGGGAAGCATGCGGAGTTCATGCTTGCCTTTATGACTCATGCATTAAGGGCGTAAAAGCCTGAAGGGTCATTGTTTTGTCAGCAAGTTACATAAAGTGACAGAATGATGAGTGTGTGTGTGGGGGGAAATTCCCGGTACAATTTATCTGTTTATGGCAAAGTGTGGCAGGTCCCTAATAATGTCAAGTGCCAGGCCATAGGCATTGACAATATTGAGGGACATAGCTTTTAGTGTGATTGTGATGGTGTATATGTCAGTAGTGATTAACAATAACAATAACATTAATTAAAGGATCTCATATGACCCCATCCAGGTGACGGGGATATGAAAATGGCTGACCCAGCACCCTATTTGCTGACGTTCCTGCTACAGGCGCTGACAGCTCCACCCGCGGACTCCCAGCTGCTGATTCTAGGGCAACCAACAAGTGAGAGAGAGAGAGAGGGAGAGAGAGAGAGGGAGAGAGGAGAGAGGGGCTACAGGAGTGAATGACACCTAATATGTTACGCAATGGTACCGTAGAATATAGGCCATGGGAGGCAAACAACACGGTGGTAATATAGCTTAGTTAAAATTTGCTTAGGTTAGGTTAGCTTAGGATACGTTAGCTTAGGTTACGTTAGCTTAGGATAAGTTAGGTTAGTTTTTATAAGAGAAACACTACTACTGCTACTACTACTACTACTACTACGCTCTACTACACTTAATACTATTACTACTGCTATTACTCCAGCAATAACAGCTACTACTAATAATAACAATAGGTACCCACAAGGAACATTCCCCTCTTCTTAACGTCACAGCTCAAGGTTGAAGAAGCCACAAGTCCAGAAAATTGTCTGGACAAACTTTTTTCGGAGTGAGAGTTGTGAACGCTTGGAACAATCTGCCAGAGAGTGTTGTGACGGCACCGAGTGTGAGCTGCCTCAAGACCTGACAGATGCATTCAGGAGCCAGTGCATGCCCAGTACTTGACAACAGTGTGTAACAGAAAGCCAGTACATGCCAAGTACTTGCCAACAGTGTGTAACAGAGAGCCAGTACATGCCCAGTACTTGCCAACAGTGTCTAACAGAAAGCCAGTACATGCCCATTACTTGCCAACAGTGTGTAACAGAGACGTGACCGACCGCCCAATCGACTAACGAGCCGATCATTGGGGAAGAGGATAAAATAAAAAAGTAACAGTAAAAAAGTTGAGTCGCATTTAACCACAATCACACCCCAACCATTGTTTAACCCAACAAAGGAGGTCCAGGCCGGATGCTGTTGGAGGTGACCTGCTGTGTCACGGTGGCCGGATGTTTGACTGGGTGTATGAGTGAGTTACTGTAGGGGTGGGTGAGTGAACTCGTGACTGATTTCCTGAATGAATTACTGAACGAGGAAGTGAATTTTTGACCTAATGAATAAAAAGCGTTTAATAAAATCCTATAAGGAAGGTATCTAGTTAAGGTAGAGTCTCGGTGTTAATTTTGTCTCCTAACTGGTGTGTTAAGTGAAGGTATCTAGTTAAGGTAGAGTCTCGGTGTTAATTTTGTCTCCTAACTGGTGTGTTAAGTGAAGGTATCTAGTTAAGGTAGAGTCTCGGTGTTAATTTTGTCTCCGAACTGGTGTGTTAAGTGAAGGTATCTGGTTAACGTAGAGTCTCGGTGTTAATTTTGTCTCCTAACTGGTGTGTTAAGTGAAGGTATCTGGTTAAGGTAGAGTCTCGGTGTTAATTTTGTCTCCTAACTGGTGTGTTAAGTGAAGGTATCTAGTTAAGGTAGAGTCTCGGTGTTAATTTTGTCTCCTAACTGGTGTGTTAAGTGAAGGTATCTAGTTAAGGTAGAGTCTCAGTGTTAATTTTGTCTCCTAACTGGTGTGTTAAGTGAAGGTATCTAGTTAAGGTAGAGTCTCGGTGTTAATTTTGTCTCCTAACTGGTGTGTTAAGTGAAGGTATCTAGTTAAGGTAGAGTCTCAGTGTTAATTTTGTCTCCTAACTGGTGTGTTAAGTGAAGGTATCTAGTTAAGGTAGAGTCTCAGTGTTAATTTTGTCTCCTAACTGGTGTGTTAAGTGAAGGTATCTAGTTAAGGTAGAGTCTCAGTGTTAATTTTGTCTCCTAACTGGTGTGTTAAGTGAAGGTATCTAGTTAAGGTAGAGTCTCAGTGTTAATTTTGTCTCCTAACTCAGTGTTAAGTGTCTCTAGTTAAGGTAGAGTCTCAGTGTTAATTTTGTCTCCTAACTGGTGTGTTAAGTGAAGGTATCTAGTTAAGGTAGAGTCTCAGTGTTAATTTTGTCTCCTAACTGGTGTGTTAAGTGAAGGTATCTAGTTAAGGTAGAGTCTCAGTGTTAATTTTGTCTCCTAACTGGTGTGTTAAGTGAAGGTATCTAGTTAAGGTAGAGTCTCAGTGTTAATTTTGTCTCCTAACTGGTGTGTTAAGTGAAGGTATCTAGTTAAGGTAGAGTCTCAGTGTTAATTTTGTCTCCTAACTGGTGTGTTAAGTGAAGGTATCTAGTTAAGGTAGAGTCTCAGTGTTAATTTTGTCTCCTAACTGGTGTGTTAAGTGAAGGTATCTAGTTAAGGTAGAGTCTCAGTGTTAATTTTGTCTCCTAACTGGTGTGTTAAGTGAAGGTATCTAGTTAAGGTAGAGTCTCAGTGTTAATTTGTCTCCTAACTGGTGTGTTAAGTGAAGGTATCTAGTTAAGGTAGAGTCTCAGTGTTAATTTTGTCTCCTAACTGGTGTGTTAAGTGAAGGTATCTAGTTAAGGTAGAGTCTCAGTGTTAATTTTGTCTCCTAACTGGTGTGTTAAGTGAAGGTATCTAGTTAAGGTAGAGTCTCAGTGTTAATTTTGTCTCCTAACTGGTGTGTGAAGGTATCTAGTTAAGGTAGAGTCTCAGTGTTAATTTTGTCTCCTAACTGGTGTTAAGTGAAGGTATCTAGTTAAGGTAGAGTCTCAGTGTTAATTTTGTCTCCTAACTGTGTTAAGTGAAGGTATCTAGTTAAGGTAGAGTCTCAGTGTTAATTTTGTCTCCTAACTGGTGTGTTAAGTGAAGGTATCTAGTTAAGGTAGAGTCTCAGTGTAAATTTCGTCTCTAACTGGTGTGTTAAGTGAAGGTATCTAGTTAAGGTAGAGTCTCAGTGTTAATTTTGTCTCTAACTGGTGTGTTAAGTGAAGGTATCTAGTTAAGGTAGAGTCTCAGTGTTAATTTCGTCTCCTAACTGGTGTGTTAAGTGAAGGTATCTAGTTAAGGTAGAGTCTCAGTGTAAATTTCGTCTCCTAACTGGTGTGTTAAGTGAAGGTATCTAGTTAAGGTAGAGTCTCAGTGTTAATTTTGTCTCCTAACTGGTGTGTTAAGTGAAGGTATCTAGTTAAGGTAGAGTCTCAGTGTTAATTTTCTCTCCTAACTGGTGTGTTAAGTGAAGGTATCTAGTTAAGGTAGAGTCTCAGTGTTAATTTTGTCTCCTAACTGGTGTTAAGTGAAGGTATCTAGTTAAGGTAGAGTCTCAGTGTTAATTTTGTCTCCTAACTGGTGTGTTAAGTGAAGGTATCTAGTTAAGGTAGAGTCTCAGTGTTAATTTTGTCTCCTAACTGGTGTGTTAAGTGAAGGTATCTAGTTAAGGTAGAGTCTCAGTGTTAATTTTGTCTCCTAACTGGTGTGTTAAGTGAAGGTATCTAGTTAAGGTAGAGTCTCAGTGTTAATTTTGTCTCCTAACTGGTGTGTTAAGTAAAGGTATCTAGTTAAGGTAGAGTCTCAGTGTTAAATTTTCAGAAAGTACATTGACTTCCTGCTCTATATCACACACACATAATTAAACACACATAGATTTAACTAAACAAAGAACTTTCTCTCTACCACAGCTTGTCAACAGGAATGTGATTACGTGTACAACCCCGTATGTGGCACAGACAGTCTGACGTATCCAAACTTCTGCTTCCTATTGAGAGCCTCCTGCAACAGTCCACGTCTCAGACCCCAGAGATATGGGTCTTGTAGTGAGTATATGTCTTATGTGTTTCTGTGTCACGATAAGGTGTGGGGTTTAAGTACGTATTATAAGTAGGTTAGTACACTTGACAAGTAAGACCTTTAAGTACGTGTTCTAAGTAGATGTACAATTGCCATACGTAATTCCTTCATTAATTACTGAATATATCAAAGTTAAACTAACCTATTTCAGTGACATTATTATCTCTAAAGTGATTTGTTAGGATTCCAAATCATGTGAAACTATAATTCTTTCTCCTATTAGTTCACATGTCGAGTATCTAGTTCCCGTGAGAGTATTTCACACGCCCCTGAGATTTTATTGTTTACATCTTGGGGTCCTGGTTCCCGTGAGAATATTATTTTACCTGTTGTTTTTACTTCTGAGGTCCCCGGTTCCTGTGAGAGGTTGATTGTTTCTTTATTATGAGAAGTGACATTATTATCATTATTATTTTTCTATGATTCATTCGTTCATCCTGTCCAATATTCTGTATACTACTATTACTACTACTATTACTACTACTACTACTACTACTACTATTACTACTACTACTACTACTACTACTACTGTTACTACTACTACTACTACTTGCCCTTAATCAATAAAATAGCTTCCACTAGCTTGTGATTCGCGACCATCTTCATCAGGGGTGTGGTATATGGGTCCCTGTGAGAGTATTAACCAAACATCTTTCATCTGTACCTGTCCACAGCCACACCAGACTCTTGTAACTACGTGTGTGACCGCTCGTACAAGCCCGTGTGTGGGTCTGACGGCACCACCTACAGCAACCCGTGTGTCCTGATGTACTACACCTGCTTCTACCCCAGCAGAGGACTCTTCAGGAGACACGTGGGTAGATGTGGTAAGTGGGGGCGTTTGAGTTGTGTTTCTATATGCATTCGTAGTCCCCCCTTCCGTTTTCTTTCTCTCTTCTGTTTTTGTCTCTCTCTCTCTGTCATTTACGTTCCCCCTCTCTCTATCTCTCTCTCACTTTCCTCCTACCTCTCTCTCTATCTCTCGCTTCCTTCCCTGAGTTCAACTGTTCTACAATCAAATGAGAACCATAACACATTTTTCCCAGGAATTTAAGGCCACATTTGTTGACATTTGACCGTCACTCATTCACACTCTCCCTGACAGTCGTGGAGAAGGAATGCCCCGCCACTTGTCCTAGGCAGAGAACCCCCGTGTGTGGCAGTGACGACAGGACATACACCAATGAGTGTTTCTTGATGCGCGAGGCTTGTGCTGGCAGACGGGTCACTAAGGCCAGGAACGGGGCCTGTCGTATGTATACTATCCTTGTTTTAAAGTCTTCTTAAGTGTACGTGTACGTGTTATAACTACCTGAGTGTACGTATTATACCTGTGTGTACGTATATATACATGTGTGCAACTATATATCCCTGTGTGTACGTGTTTATCCCTGTCTGTACGTATTATATCCACGTTTCCACACGAGAACTCACTACCTATCACCCACAGCGCTAAAATGCCCAAGGATATGTACAAGAGAGTACCTACCTGTGTGTGGTGATGACAATGTTACCTACCCTAACACCTGTACGATGGAGAGCACAGTGTGTGAAGGCAAGACGGTCACCAAAGCCTACGATGGACCCTGTGGTAAGTATCTCTGTTTTCATTCACATCCAGTAAAAAAATAATGATAGAATTTGATGCTTATTTATTTTTACGATTAGGTATTTGTAAATTATTTTTGTACTTCATCTTTACTATTTAATGATTGAATTCTCGACGTTTCCATCTTCTAGACTTGCCAAACGGACCTCCACGGCAGAACCCATCTTGTAATTCAGCCTGTCCCTTTATCTACGCCCCTGTGTGTGGGAGTGATGGCAAAACGTATGGAAATAACTGCGCCCTCAACGCTGCCTCGTGTAAGAATCCCGCCATCACCAAGGTCAGCGATGGAGAGTGTGGTAAGACTGATTCATTGAGAGTTGAATAGATAGATAGATAGATAGATAGATAGATAGATAGAGAGATAGATAGATAGATAGATAGATAGATAGATAGATACCCATGAAAAATAAATTATACCACCACTATTTACTACCCATCCAACACAGTTACCAGTCAGAGGTCGTGCCCACAAACTTGTCCCGATATCGTGTCCCGTGTGTGTGGCAGTGACGGGATTACCTACGAGAATGAGTGTATCTTGAGGTCAATAAGCTGTAATGACCCAACACTGACGGTCAAGAGCCAAGGGACGTGTGGTGAGTCCATCCGAGAGAGAGAGAGAGAGAGAGAGAGAGAGAGAGAGAGAGAGAGAGAGAGAGAGATTTTAGTTAGTTGAAATAGTTCTTTGACTGAGGTCTTGTTTTTGTGATGTCAGTAGCTTCATATATGACTAAATGACTAATTATTGATGAAATTACCTTGTTTAACGTATTTTATTCATTATAAAGTTGATAAATGGGGATAATTATCTGCAAATACGAAGCTATTATTATTTCTTAACTTAGTATAGTTAGTCTTCAAATTTAAGTAATAGAAAATGAGTATGAAACAAAATTAACATTACAGAAAACGAAGCAGCATCATCGTCTGGAGGGGGGTCTCGTTCATCTTGCCCGAGTGTTTCCGTTTGTCCAACCAATTACTCCCCTGTGTGTGGTAGTGACGGTACAACTTATCCCAACCAATGTAACCTTGATGTGGCTACCTGCTTGGATTCCTCTGTTACCTGGCGTAGCGATGGTCTTTGTCGTGAGTAAATAGGAGTATATCTAGTGCTTATGAGAGAGAGGGGAGAGGTGAGGGTATGGTTGTGCTCTGGAAATATATATATGAGAGAGAGAGAGAGAGAGAGAGAGAGAGAGAGAGAGAGAGAGGCGAAGAATTTACTACAGAAAGGAAGTTGAACGCAAGAAATTCTCACCCCATATTGATGTCACTCTCACAGACTAAAAAAATAAATGACATCATTCTCACCGTTTCAGCTATAGCGACATCAGCCCCGGGCATTGCTCCGGCAGGTACTGAGTCGCCACCCTGCGCCAACACCTGTAGTAGGGTGTTCGCTCCTGTGTGTGGTAGCGACGGTGAGACGTATTTCAACCTTTGTCTCCTTAATCTGGCAGCCTGTAATGAGAATAGAGTCATCAATGCTGCGAGGGAAGGGCGCTGTGGTAAGTGTGGGTGGAGAGAGAGAGAGAGAGAGAGAGAGAGAGAGAGAGAGAGAGAGAGAGAGAGAGAGAGAGAGAGAGATAACACCACCACCACCACAACAACACAACACAACAACACAACACAACACAACACAACACAACACAAATACCTAACTAATAATCCCCCCTTCTTCCCCTTCTTCAGATGACCCTCAGGTACCATCTGCCCTCCCACCGTGTCCCGTAT